TGTGATATTTAAATGTGTCTGATTTATTTCACTTAAAATTATGGTCTCAAAGTGCATCTATTTATCTATAAATGATTCAAGTTTATCTTTCTTTATGGCAGAGTAGTACTCCATTGTATATAAATACCACATTTTGTTTTATCCACTCATTTGTTGATGGGCATTTAGGCTGTTTCCAAGATTTAATTATTATAAATTGTGCTGCTATAAACATGGGTGTGCATATATCACTGCAGTACGATGCGTTTAACTTTTTGGGGATGATACCTAGAAAGGGAATAGCTAGGTCAAATGGAACTTCTATTTTTAGTTTTTAGAGAAATCTCCATCCAGATTTTCATAGTGGTTGTACCAATTTACACTCCCACCAACAGTGCAAAAGGGTTCCTTTTACGCCCCCAGTTATTGGTTGATTTCTTGATGACAGCCATTCTTTCTGGGGTGAGATGGAATCTCAGTGTTGTTTTAATTTGCATTTCTTAAATAACCAGTGATGGTGAACATTTTTTCATATATTTATTTGCTGTTTGTACTTCTTCATTTGAGAAGTGTCTGTTCAGTTCATATGCCCATTTTTTTATTGGGTTTCACATGTGGAAAGAGTTTTCTCAGCACCATTTATTAAAGAGGCTATCTTTCTTTCAGTAAAGGTGTTTGTCCCCTTTATCAAAGATAAGGTACCTAAGTGTGCTTGGAGTTGTTTCTGCGTCTTCTATTCTGTTCTAGTGACCCTTGGGTCTGTTTCTTTGCCAGTACCATGCTGTTTTTATTATGGTAACTTTGTAATATAACTTCAAATTCAGGATTATGGTGTCCCTGCCTTGCCCTTGATGCCCAGAATTGCTTTTGCAATTCAAATTTTCTTTAGCATTTTTATCATGAATAGCATTTTATCATGAATAGATGACTTTGTCATCTGATTTTTCTACTGAGGTGATCATGTGATTTTTGTCCTTGGTTCCAATAATGTAGTGTATTACATTTCTTTTGGTTCCATATGGATTTTAGGATTGTTTTCTTTAGTTTTGTGCTATACCAATGCTACTGGTCTTTTGATTGGGATTGGATTAAATCTGCATAAAAGTTTTGGGCATATGGCCATTTTTACTACATTGGCTTTGCCTATTCAAGAACAGGGGATATCTTTCCATTTTCTGATATCCTCTTCAATCTCCCTGTTCAGAGTATCGTAGTATTTCAATGTATAGGTCTTTCCCTTTCTTCGTGAGATTGATTCCTAAGTATTTCACTTTTCTTACTGCTACTGTTTTCCTGATTTCTCTCTCCCTGAATTTGTTATTCATGCACAGAAATGTTACTGAGTTTTGAGTGCTGACTTTGTATCTTGCTATACTACCAGATTAGATTACTA